GAAAAGAAGGGGCCTTGTCAAAATCTAAGGGAAGAAATGATGCCTCTCCCAGAAAGTGCCCTCCCCCCACCAGGGGCAATTTTGGGGCCTCAGGACCCCCACTCCCGGGTCCAGGCATGGAGCCTCGTCCAGCTCAGGGCCCGGAGAGGGGAACTCACTGCAGAGGGTGAGGCTGCGGGGCGGGCAGGGCCTTGTCTGCCGCACTGTGATGGCAGTGCTGGGCCCTGGGGCCTGGGCAGAGGAGACACGGCCCACACGTACATGAGGTCGGGCAGTGGAGCAGGGGCTGGGGCGCGGCTCCGAGTCCAGGGCCCCGGGAGCAGGAGCGGGGGGCTTCCTCAGTGACCCATGTGGGGGGGAATCCAGTCTCAGTGGGATGGGGTCCCGGCTGGGGGGAGGGCGAGCAGGACGGCCTCAGGACCCCCACTCCCGGGTCCAGGCATGGAGCCTCGTCCAGCTCAGGGCCCGGAGAGGGGAACTCACTGCAGAGGGTGAGGCTGCGGGGCGGGCAGGGCCTTGTCTGTCGCACTGTGACGGCAGTGCTGGGGCCTGGGGCCTGGGGCCGAGGAGACACGGCCCACACCTACTTGAGGTCGGGCAGCGGAGCAGGGGCTGGGGCATGGCTCCGAGTCCAGGGCCCCGGGAGCAGGAGCGGGGGGCTTCCTCAGTGACCCATGTGGGGGGGAATCCAGTCTCAGTGGGATGGGGTCCCGGCTGGGGGGAGGGCGAGCAGGACTATCGGGGGTGCTGCCCAGGGGGCCAGAGGCCTGGGGTTCCCAGGTCACCAAGCTCGTCTGAAGGTGAACGTCCCAGGAAAGTCCCCTCCAGTGTTTGGTCCCCCTGGCCTGACTCCCAGCTCCCTGCTGGCCGTTCCTTGGCCCCTGGGCCTGCTCTGACACCATGGCCCTGCCTCCCACCAGGGGACACCGTCCCCCGGTCACTCTGCCGGAGGCTCCTCCCACCCCTGCAGGGTGACTCTAGACCCCCCCCCAGGAGGCCACCCCAGCTCCATGCATGACCCTGCGGACAGTCAGGTGGGCCCTGGGCTGTCCCAACAGAGGCAGGACCCAGGGGAGCCGGAGCCCAGCGGCCAGTGGGGCTGGGGCCACAGATGCAGGTGAGCGGAGGACAGATTCGGAGAGCACAGCCCCACGGGGCTATCCGGAGCCGGGTGAGGGAGCGGCTCTGTCCCACGAGGCCTGGGAGCGACATCGGCCAGGGCACACCTCACGGGGCGATGCCCCCGTGGCCCTGGCGCGGCGACTCACCCCCATCAACACGGAGAAGACCCACGTCTTGTGGCTGAAGCAGGGGGGCAGCCTCGACGACAGCTGCAGGTCGCCGCGCTGGGGACAGACTGGCCTCGTTAGTGCCGCGCGGAGCTGTGCCCGGCGCGCTGCCCACTCTGCTACTCGCGGTCGCTCTGGAAACGCTCCGGTTAAAACAAGTTCCCAGTGAGGGAGGACCGTTCACAGCAAGTCCGTGAACTGAACAAGAGACTCGCTTCCTTCCTCCCTTAGCCCCTTTCCCAGCAAAGCCAACCCGCCTCTGGGTTCGGGCGGGCGCTGGGCTGTGGGTGCGCGGACCGGCCCTGCGTCCTTCAACCCCCACGTCCCAGGAAGCGCTGGCTCCTCCACGCCCTTCAGTTGCTCAAGGTGGTAACTGAACCGTCACCCCCTGCCCCCCACCTCTCTCTCCCTCACACACACAGGTCCCGTCCGTCTGTCCTTCCGTCCGTGCTCACCTCGCTGGGCTGGTGGCGCTGGTCTCCGGGTGGGGGGCTCGCTGCTGCCCAGTCATCCTGCCGGGCCTTCCAGCAGCGACTCCTCAGGGGGAACAAAAGCCCAGCAGATCTGTGCGGGGCCAGGAGCAGGAGAGCCTGGTCCTGAATGTCAATGAGGGGAAGCTGTGACCCTGGGAAGTTCTCGGTGGTTGTGTAACCGCCGGCCTTGCCAGGGCCTGGATTCGCTCCGGGAAACGGAGGGGCCGCCTCGGTCCCACTCAGCACAGGGAGGGCGTGGGCGCCGGGGCGTCTCGGAAGAAGTGCCCCCGAGGGGATCCCCCCCCCCCCCCCCCCCCCCCCCCCCGCCGCACAGAGTCCCGAAGGCGGAGGCCGTGGCTCTGTCTTGGAGACAACTTTTTATTCCCAGCGCCCTTTTCCCATCCCCTGCGATCATACGAGGAAACTCCCTGCACAACAGCACGCACACGCAAACACACACACACGTCTGCGCGCAGCCCGGCCGGGTGGCCTGCTCGGGACTCTGGCCGTCCGGCCCGCAGGCAGCCCCAGAGTCCCCGTGGCGCCCTCTCCTTCTGCTCACTGAGCAGAGAGAAAGGCCAGGACATGCCTCCCCCGGAGACGCTGGCACCAGCGTCACAGCCGCAGGGTCTGTGTGTGCACGGCGAGCTCAGGCGCCCGGAACACCGGCTCCGCACACACAGACCCACGGGAGGTGAGAGCGAAGCATCAGGTCCCCATCGTGGGATGTTCTGCTGTCTCCGTGGGGTTTTGTGTTTTTTAAATACATTTTTATTGATTTCAGAGAGGAAGGGAGTGGGAGAGAGAGAGAAACATCCATGATGAGAGAGCATCATGGACTGGCTGCCTCCTGCACGCCCCCCACTGGGGATGGAGCCCGCAACCCGGGAATCCAACGGTGACCTCCTGGTTCACAGGCGGCCAGGCGAGGAGTGCGCTTTGATGACGAGGAGGTTGAGACTGTTGGGCGGCCGGGCGCATCCGCTGAGGAGTTGAGCTGAGAAGTGCAGAATCCGGGGATATTTTCCATTGAATTTTAGAAGAAGAGACAGAAGCATCCACGTGGGAGACACATCGATTGCTTGCTCCCCCGCCACACACGCCGGACAGGGCCCAGCTCAGACCTGCAACCCAGGGGCGTGCCCTTGACCGGGAGTCGAACCGCGACCCTTCCCCCGGGCCGACCTCTCACCATTGAGCCCGGCCGGGCGATGCCATATTTGACACCTTGTTTGAAATGGACAAACCCTGAGCAGAGGAGCCGGCGCAGCTGCCTCGCGTTGCACGGCACGAGGAGGAGCCTAGGCAGGTGCAGAAGTTGGTGCAACTTGAAATGAGCCCACGAAGAGGCCTGCAGCCCCGCCGAGCTCACGTGAA